CCCGTGTCCCCTGCATCGGCAGGCGGACTCTCAACCACTGCGCCACCAGGGAAGCCCCTTGTTCTGCTTTTTGTATTTTCCTGCTGGCACAGTTATTTTAATAAATGCATACTGTTCAATCATGTGGAAGCATCTTGATTTACTTAACTGATACTACAGGATATTTATTTGATCTATCATTAGTCATCCTGGTTTATTTTCATTTGTGCTGTTTTTTCTGCTATGCCTTTTATCGTATGGACTAAATTTGGTTTGAATCAACTTGGAAGATAAATGTTCATTTTCCCCTATTATTTTTTAAACTTAAAATATAGCTTTATGCTCCTATTTGGAGGATAAGAAATTTTATGCTTTATTCTCTTCCCTCAACATTCCTTAAAACAAGACATTTTAAAACCTCCTCTTCTCCCAGTTTTAAGTATTAGTTTTTCTTATTCAGTGAGGATTTAATCAAATACCAGGTATATGGTGGGCGCTGCGAAAGACAGTAGGGCATTTCTCTTCTCCATTCTTTCAAAGACTTTTCTTTTAAACTTTTCTGCAGCTCAGAAGTTGCAGCTGTCCTGTGTCTCTCTTATCCCCAAACTCCCTGGAAAAAATCCCCCTCTGTGTACATATTTTGTCCATCTGCACCCCTCCTTTCTACCTGACTTATCAACACAAAGAACCAGTCTGGCAAAGAAGGAGAGAGAGGTGGGCAAAGAAGGGGTGGGCATTGTGGGGAAGGGGGTGGGAACATTCCCGTGTCCATCATTTTTTACTTCCCACGGAGGCAGGTAATATGTAAGACCTGGCCTTAAAGCAGTGGCCCTCAAACTTGAGTGTGTATCAGAATCACCTGGAAGGCTTTTTAAAACACAGATTGCTGGTTCCCACCCTCAGAGTTCCTGATTCAGTAAATCTGGAGTAGGTCCTGAAAGTTTGCATTTCTTACAGGTACAGGTGAAGCTGATGCTCTTGGTCTGGGGAACCACTCTGCTCTAGAGAAAGAAGAGCCACCTGTGAAGAGAAATATATTTCCTATCTAGAATATCTCTGCCTTCTCATGGGCATATACCAAACCAAAGCTTTACTCATGTGTAGTTGATAATATCTAACCACAGGTTCAAAACCAAATACTCCCCTGCACTGGCAGTATGAGGTGAAGGAAAGGGGAAAACAGGTATCTGAAATGGATTTACTTGACTTCACAAAACTGTAATTGTGGGACCTCTTTGTTGGAGGAAGTGAGAAAGGTACCTGTCAACTCCACTGTGTTATTTAACAGTTTCTTGCAGACGTAGGGCATTTGAGCCTCACAGGAAAAACTCTGCCACAGACCCGAGTCGGCATCCATTCTTGCGCAGCTTGATCTGTCAATTATAGGTGCACTCGGCACATCTTAAACAGCAGGATTTTCAAAGAGTTAAAAGAAGAAGGTTGGGGGCAAGGGTGGTGGTTAGAAAAATTAACTTGTATTCCTAATTTTCTGCTTTTATGGGGACTCATAAAATAGTTAAAACTTTCAACTAAATTGAAATGCTTAAGCTGCAATGGACAATCATGTGCTTACCTATGTCTTCTTAAATACAGGATATGGTGGGGGCGGGGGGGGCAGGGATACTCTGATCTGTTGTAGTTAATTTAAAAAACAAAACCAAAAACCAAACCTCTGCCCCAAACCAACTTGCATGTCGTATCTTGTGGTCAGTAGCTCTTAATTTGCTACCCTACACAATAAAAATACCGATTTATGATCCTGCCATGCCTTTAAGGCTTTAAGATTAAATTCTCTTTAAAGATTTTATTTACTGAGATAATAGAAAATTTATTTACTACTTATAAAATTCCATTAACTAAAATGCCCCATGTATTGGTACTTTATTGTGCTTAACTTGTTTTTCTTATATGTATGCAGAATATTTTGGTACTGAAGTTAGTGTTAACTTTTACATTCTACATTTGTCAGAAGCCTATGGTTTTATTTTTTAAAAAGGAATCTAAACCTTCTTTCCAGGGAGACAAAAGGCATTTTGGCTAGTTAGTGAGTTAGGGTTTGTTTATTTAGTATAAAATTTTCTTTAAGGTCTTTTTTTGTGTATTAAAATATAACCATTATGTTGTCAGTACTTGGGTGCTGCAGTGGAAGACACCAAGAGTTTGAGGAACTATTTCCATATCAGAGTTAAGCTGCAGATGAAACACAACATGGGTCAGTCATGGACACGTCAAGTCCTCTTAGGGACACAGAATGGTTCCTGGGCCACGTAGTGGGGCTCATTCTGCTCCTATCTAAAAATGCAGGGTCACTCTAAAGATTAGGGACAAATGCTCACTTGCCCATGCTGGGGGTCAACTTGCCTATAATGGTATCACAAGGATGTAGGAAAAAATATTCTTCTGAGAGGTAACCATAATAAGAGTTGTCAAGGTTTGAAATTTGTACAAGCTCTCAGGGGATGGGAAGCTCTTATTTTTTTTGAAGCTTGTGCTCTGTGCATAGTAAGTGGAAGAGGGAGCAATTACCTGGGTCCCAGTTGAGAAAGTTTAATGGCTTGTGGTCTGACCATTCCCAGCCTCTAGCAGAGTACAGCTGATTTAAACCAATCCAGAAAATTCTTGGAATGCCTTCTTTTTCTGTAAGAATTACACATTTTTAAAAAGTGACAAAATTACCTGTTATTACCTAAGTCAGACTTAAGTTTATACTAATAGCAAAAATATCTGAAGGCCTTGATTATGAGGTAGGAACCCTGTAGGGGGCTGTCTATCCAACAAAGGCAGATGATGCTGAGAGGCAACAAAACCGCAGTCTATTGAGAAACCCAAAGGCTGCTAAGTTAATTCAATGCTGCTTTCCCATTAGCTTGTCCAATTCCCTTTCTTCTAGTAAGAACAGAATTTTCTCAGAGTAGCTGTTTCACTATCTACTTTTAACCCTCTTGTACTGATATAGAAAAAGTAGTTTCCATTACATATCTAAATTTTGAAGGTCTGATTATATTCCAGACTGACAGTTTAAATTCGTTAAGCACATATCATTTGCCAGGTACTAAGGACATAAAAACCAAAACGATAAAGTCCTGCCCTCATGACGATTTCAATCTAGTAGGACACAGATATGGATCCCCAAATGGTGAAGTGTAACCAGTACTGTTTCAGAAATATGTACTGAGCTAGGCAAGGGATATACAACTCTAGAGTCCAGAGGAGACATTAAGGCTGGAGATACAGAATGGGACACACACACACACACACACACACACACACACACACACACACACAAACACACGCAAACACTCATGTTACAGTTGAGATGCATCATTCAAATTTATTATTTGACAACTAGATGACATTAGCATAAAAGAAAAAGAGAAGCAGAAATACTTTAAATAGAGAAGCTAAGTGCTGATATGCCACTCAATGTGCACATGCTCACAAGCAATGGATGCAATCATGCTTGTTGTATGGGGCCGTATGTATTAAGAAAAGAATGTGCGAACAATTTTAAGGATTTTCACACCACTGTCAAGGAAGTCAACGCCATTATTCAAGAACCTGGTAAGACTTTATCGACATCACAAAGAATTTGAAGATACTAAAGGCCAGGTAGAAGAGCTAAAGCAACTAATGAAATGGTCTACAGAAGACAAGGATGATGTTGACAAACAGGAAGAGCTAACAGGTTGGAATCTCTATAAATTTGTTGAAATATTCCCGGCAATAAAACACATGATAGCAGTTTCTCAATTCCTCCCGGAGAATTCTGTATGATATATTATAGTATTATATATATAATTCATGTATCTCTCTATAGAAATATAAAATACAATTCTATATGACATTTTTTATATATATATATATATATATATATAAAATATAAATATAAACAATTCTTAAAGTATGGATTTTGTTCCATCATACATATCAGATAGATCTGTGTGATTTGCATGCAGAAAACCATATCCATACTTTCAGGGCTCTTTGAGGGCGATTTTGACTATATGTAATTTTTGCCTTCCTTTCACACTTTAGAACCCAAATGCCTAAAACAAGTAACTTCACCGGAACTGACACCTGGGAGCAGAGGAGAATCCCCGCGTGAAGCAGAAGTAGCGCCAGCAAAAGACAAAAGCGGCCAAGAGCAGTGACCCGGGCACCAACATCCAAGGGGTGGGCAGGAGCCTGGGAAGAGGGTGGTAGGACAGAGGCCCAGTTATCACTCCAGTGAGGAATCAATGTGAGCATAAAAGTGAACTGTAAGGATACACTGTGCTTTCCAGGAGCTTCACTGTGAAAGACAGAGGCGGGGCTTCGGGGTCTAGGGAAAACATTTTCAATGAAAGAAGTTTAAACAAGTGTATAGCCTACTGGGGATGAGTTAATAGAGTGAGTGTCCATAAAAGTATAAGAGATATAGAAGAAACAGTTGATGTGAATACAAAGAGCTTGGGGGAAGTATTTAACCTGGAACGAGCTGGAGAAATAACAGTATAGATAAACATGTAAGTGTGAGGGTGACAAACTAAGCGTCCACCTCACTTTTCCCAAGGAGATAGATGATAAGGATCCTCTCTCTACTAAGGAAGGAGAAGGTGGATGTTTGGGTAGATGGCTTGAGGAGAATGTTGAAGGGAACTCTGGATTTATCCTTTTCTCTCACCTTGTTAGCATAAGCAAAGGCTGCCAGCACTGGCATAGCAAGACCTTGAGGAATTACTCTAATCTAACTCTTTCTTCATTAGTAAATGTGATTGATTTTCCAGCATTCCTAAAGAAGTCCTGGGAACTATGACATATTGATGGTACTCCAAACTCAACCATGCCCTGACATTCAGAATTCCCTTCATTCATCTCTAACCAGGGATACTATAGAGGACCAATCCTTCCCATCTATCCCAAGTTCAATGTCCTCTTCTCCATGAAGACTTTCCAGATATCCCCCAGCAGGAAGTCTGAATAATCCTGCTGCTTCCTATGAATAATGCTATTGTTCACCTGCACACGACAAGTACACATTTACAATGGAACAAAATGATGTTTGGAGGGTGTCAGGCTCTTGTCTACTTCATCACAATGTTCTATTTGTGATCTGTATTGATGATGACTTATTCTTCACTAGAATCATAAGATTTTAAAATTGGGACTGCATTGGTAAATTCAAATGCTCTTTATGTGTCTTGTGCCAGGTGGGTGTGATAAATTTTAAAGGCCCTGGCTGGGCAAATGCAAAGGGCAGGGATTTCTTATATGGCCTGGACAATTTGGAGCTGGATTTTTTCCTTCATAGGCAAGGAAAGCTATGATGCATTCCTCCAAATGCATCATTAGATTGTTTGGCAGGGCGTTGACCAATTTGAGACTCTATCAATGCCCATCTTTGCCATCAAGAGTCACATGACTGCTAGCGTTAAGTTCCTATATCTAATCAAATGGGCGAGTCCAATGAGCTAGATATTCTTGACTGTTCCCAACACCCCTATTCCGACATGACCCTATATTTCTATTCCTCTTCCCACAATGAGAAACTGCAGGGCCTGATAATGGTCATGCATCTGGGATGAACATCAGAAAGGCCACAGCCAGCAGGGGCCCTGACCTAGGAGTGTTCTAGCCTTGGGTCACTATCAAGGTAGTTCAAAGTGAGCAGCCCCTGAGGCCAGAGATAAATTAGAAAGAATTGAAATGTGTTGTTCCTGCTCTGGGGACTCTCAGTCCTCCTTTGAGCTCTGGGGTTGAATCTGTCGTTACAGGTCCCTGGGAAGGCCAGAGCCATAGGAAATTTGACCCTCAAACAAAATGCAGCGAGGCTGAGGAAACCAAATCCCCCACCGTAGGTCCCTGTATTAGTAAAACAAAATCAAAACAAACTAATTAGGTGCAGGGCAGGCACAAAAGAGAGAGAAAGTTCTTTTAGGCTGCATGGGACTTATCTTCAAGAGAGCTGATTCTGCTTTATTTCTGTCAGCAGAAATAAAGTCCCTAGTCCCACCTAACTACTAGCTGCGAAACCCTGAGGTCCTTTGGGAATAACATTCTCCACTATCCTCTGCATATGTACAACTCTTATTTCCCTGACTAGATCAAGCATTTTGATCACAAAATCTCTGATTCACTTTTGTGGGCCTCACTCCCACTAGCCCACTGTTTAACATGGTAGTTTTCAGGGAAGGGACACGATATTAATAGGGACTTCAAGAAATGTTCCAGATGTTAAAGTACAGCTTTCTTAGGTCCTAGGAAACCAGCAATCATAATTAGGCATACTGATATCCCTAAAGAGCACTCACAGTGAAAGAGAAGCTTGGATCACTAGAAAGGGCTGTGCCTCTAAAATTAGTGATATGCAAAAAATGTGGGGAGTGTCTGGCCAGAGATGGGGGAAAACTGGGTCCTTTATCACATTACCTCACTTTTATGTGTTATTAAAGAAAACTGATGCATAAAGGAACCCTGCAACATTTATTCCTCCAAATGCATCATTAGATTGTTTGGTATGGTGTTGATAGTCACACTTTGACACCTTTTTCCTTCATTGAAGCTATCAGTTTCCAAATGTCAGTATTTTGGGAGACTTAAATTTATTGGCCCTGTCTACTCTCAACAATATATTTTGTAAGGTTTCAGCGGGGTCCGGAATAGAATTCCATTGCCAAACACTAGCCCATTATGCTTCTTTGACAGATTTCTATGCAAGACGTCTGATTATTTAAGTCCCGAACAACACAGGAAAAGGTTAAAACTATAAGAAAGAGGTGTGAATAAAGCTTAAGCCAAAAAGCATGACAAAAGACCAGCATACTTTTTTTTGAGGTTACACAGGTTTATAACATTACAGAAGTTTCATGCACACAACATTATATTTCAACTTCTGTATACACTACAGCGTGCTCACCACCAAATTTTAGTTTCCATCCATCACTATACAGTTGACCCCTTTTACCCATTTCACCCACTTCTCTCTCTGCTTCCCCTCTGATAACCATTGCTCTGTTCTCAGTATCTATGTGTTTGTTTTTGTTTGGTTTGGGTTGTTCATTTATTTATTTAAATATTTCACATGAGTGGAACCGTACAGTATTTATCTTTATCCGTCTGACTAATTTCACTTAACACAATACTCTCAAGTTCTCCCCATGACGTTTTTCACAGGAATAGAACAAAATTTTATATAAACAAGATTTACCTGGAGGCACAAAAGACCCCAAATAACCAAAGCAATCCTGAGAAAGAAGAACAAAGCTGGAGGGAGCCACTCTCTGATTTCAAATTTTACCACAAAGCTACAGTAATTAAAACAGTAGAGTATTGGCAGGAAAAACAGACATACAGATCAAAAGAACAGAATTGAGAGCCCAGAAATAAAGCCATGAATATAGGGACAACTGATTTAAAACAAAGGGGAAAAGAACATACAATGGAGGAAGGATAGTCTCTTCAATAAATGGCCTTGGGAAAACTGGACAGCCATGTACAAAAGAATGAAACTAGACCACTATCTTGTACCACACAAAAAAATCAACTCAAAATGGATTGAAGACTTGAATGTAAGACCTAAAACCATAAAACTCCTAAAAGAAAACATAGGCAGTATGTTCTCTGACACCAGTGTTAGCAGTGTTTCTGGATATGTTTCCTTAGGCAAGAGAAACAGAAGCAAAAGTAAATAAACTGGCCTATATAAAACTGAAAGCTTCTGCACAGCAAAGGAAACTATCAACAAAACAAAAAGACAATCTACCAAATGGGAGAAAATATTTGCATGTCATTTATCCTATAAGCGGTTAATATTAAAAATATACAAAGAACTCATACATTTCAACAGCAAAAAACAAACAACCCAATTGAAAAATGGGCAGACGACCTGAATCGACATTTTTCCAAAGACGACATACAGATGGCCAACATACATATGAAAAGATGTTCGACACGGCTAGTTATTAGGGAAAAGCAAATCAAAACCACAATGAGACGTCACCTCATGCCTGCTAGAATGGCTGTTGTCAAAAGGGCAAGAAATAAAAAATGCTGGAGAGGATGTGGAGAAATGGGAACCCTCTTACACTGTTGGTGGGAATGTAAAAGTCCAGTAGACTTTTAATGATGAAAACAAAGAAAGAAAGATATGTAAGAGGAGTAAGTACTATAATAAAAAAGCAAGGGCTCTGGAGTTATAGATGTTGATATTCAAATCCCAATTCTGGTACTTCATGGCTCTGAGATGTTGGGTATATTATTTCTAAACATCAATTCCTAATCTGTAAGTGGGGATAAAAATACTTGTCTTATGGTGTTGTAATGATGATTAAATTATAGTTGACCCCTGAACAATATGGGTTTGAACTATGCAGGTCCACTTATATGCCGATTTTTTTTCACTAAATATGTACTACAGAACTATACAATCTATGGTTGGTTGAATCTACGGATGTGGAACTGCACTCATTTATTCAAGTGTGAAGATTTTTTACTGAGGTGATCTCCTCTGACTCAGCCACCTTCTCCACCTTCCTCAAGTTCTCTACCGTTCAATGTTCAAAGAGTTTAATGCTTACCTTTTTTCAAATCCTTTCACCTAGGCTTCAGGTAGCAGTTTAATCTTGCTACCTCACCTCGTTTTCTGATTATTAACCTCTCTTGGTCTCTATCATGAGATGCATTTTCAATGGACAGAATAGGATTATATTCAGTAGTTTTTACTTGTGGGCTTTGAAGTTTAAATCCCAAGAAAAGATAAATATATGCAGAAAACAACATACCTAGATATGAAAACAGAAGGCAGACAGCACCTTTACAATCGCAGCAATTTGCTCTACCACACGCAACTGAAACCTACCTGTAAGATAAGTTAACTCAGCAGCACTGTTGATGCTCAGTAAGTCAGCTCCTTGATTCTGACATGAAACATAAGCTTTTTTCCAAGAAAGAGTTGCCTGAGTATTAAACTGGTAGCAACTTCCCATCTCCTCTTTCTTTTCCCAATTATCTTCACAGCCATTTTCTATTGATAAAAAGATACATTAGTGATCATAAAGTAAGGGCACAATGTTGTCTATTACTTAGAATGCTTACAAATACTGCCATTCAATTTGCATACTCTTAGGATATGCTAAAATGGAGGCTGTCATTGTTCTACTGGACAACATTTTGATTCTTTGGTTACACAAAAAAACTGAAGTCATAGGACAGGAAATGACTTAGGCTGGCTAAAGCTTCCACTCTCCTATCTTCTACTCTCCCTTTATCCCCATCAATTACAATGCCATGTTTTAGCCCATGCCTACCCTCTGCCTAAAAGTAGGAGTCTTCAACTGTGCTCAACCCCTGAGCTCACTTACAGATGGTGGCAGACTGCAGAGGGGTTTGCTCATGGCCTGCAGTGAAACCACTGGATATGCATGTGTGTGTATTTAGACATGCTGCTTAAGTGCCTAAGATTTAAAGCCTAGTGATACCTTATTTGAGAAACTCAGTCCATTTTCTCCTTAATATTTTAACAGATGATTTAACATATGACAAATATTATATAACTAACATTATACATGCATTGTACATCTCTATGTACATATATATGTGCATATATGTGTTTATAAACATTGATATATGCATGTGAACATCATTTCCTTTAACAAATATCTAAAAAGCATGTATGATTTCAGATGAAGAACCTTCAAGCTCTTTCTGGGACAAGATTTGTAGGTCTTAATACAACTAGTTCAAAAATATACTCACAGCCTCCTATGTGCTCCCAACAAGAGGAAAAAACCAACATAACTTATGTCAAGTGTATCCCAGGTTTCACTTGGGGTTTTCCCAAAGGGTCTCCCATAACCAGTCAAACTTATGGACTCTCAAGCTGGAATGCCCCTTAGAGATCATTTTGTGTCATGTCTTCATTTCACAGGTAGGAACAAAGATATAGGGGTGTTTGTGGCAAAGCTATAACCAGAGTGCTGTTGTCTAAGTCTGGTGTTGTTGGTCTTCTGAATGGCACACACTGCTTCTTCAGCCACTTCTGAATGTCCTAAATAACAACAGAGGTTGTTCTGATACTTGGTAAAAACAAAATAGGTGGATTTGCAAGTGCATTGCCTAAAGGTTCTTTGTTACCACTAAGG